CCCCAAAACCCCAAAACCCCAAAACCCCATTTATTGGATATAATTCACTTGAAATTTTATAATTTTGAATTCAAATATAATGGCATATAATCCAGTTAACAGGGGAAATATCAACAGCAATCAATAAAACGATCCCTCTAATCTTTCTAATATGAATCCAGAAGACTATCTAGGTACATCATTTCTTTTTCTTAATCATATTTAGATAAATCTAATGTCAATATGTTCCTTAAAGAAGCGATATCTCTCTTACTTGAGAATAGACCAGAGAATCCAATCTTATTTTTAGCAGATCAGTAATTATTACTTTACATCTTAAATATAACAATAGCTTTCGCACACTTTAGTAGAATAGTCAAGTGAACTCTAATATTCTGAAGGCATATAGACTAATAACCCTCAATAAATACGATACCAAATCTTTTGCTGATAACGTATTCTAAGCTTATACTTTGATTGAGAAGGATCATGGCAATTCAGGTGTGAAGGGTATTGACTTCATAAAACTAGCTTAAATGCTATGTATCGATTATCCCTCTGAGATACTTCATGGAATACTTAGATTGCTTGATAAAAGAGAAGAAGAAAATGTAGAATTCGATGAATTCCTCTGTGGAATTAAAACTATTCTTCTTTTTGATAACTACTTTGAGGAGATGGAGCAAATTTTTAAGTACTTGGACAACAATAAGCAAGGGAAAATAAAGAAAGATGTAAGAATATAGATTTTTAATTTTTCTTAAGGAATTAATATACTCAGTTAAAAAGATAGCTAGTCAAAAGAGTGAGCTAAGAGTGCCATCTATTGAAGATGTTGAGAGTGTTTACTAAAGCATGGCAGTAGAAGAGGACGGACTCCTTAACTATGACGAATATCTCATTTTATTATTCAAAGTTACTCTTGATAACTTCGGTGAATGACCAATTAACTTTTTATATCATTATGTAAGAAATATTGGAAAATCAATCTATCAAATGAAGGCAGAGTGGGGTTTTGGGGTTTTGGGGTTTTGGGGAGATCGG